TAATTTTTTTCTTCTTCCCCCTTCAAAGCCGTCTCCAACCATTATTATATTGTATAATTGTAATAAAACTAAAAGTATTTTTGCTGTATTGAACTATAATTTTCTCACTCTTTTCTAGTACAAAAAGCTCACCAACTACAGGAACTCCTGAGTAAGAAAGAAGGAGAAATGAGAGCAATGGAAGAACGATACAAAAAATACTTGGAGAAAGCTAAAAATGTGGGTATAACTAGAGCACATTAACCTCTTACATTCTCTGTGATAAATTGAATAAAACTAGATCACAGTAACCTCTTACATTCTCTCTGATAAATTTAATAAAACTAGAGCACAGTAACCTCTTACATTCTCTGTAATAAATTTAATAAAACTAGAGCACAGTAACCTCTTACATTCTCTGTAATAAATTTAATAAAACTAGAGCATGGTAACCTCTTGCATTCTCTGTGATAAATTTAATAAAACTAGATCACAGTAACCTCTTACATTCTCTGTGATAAATTTAATAAAACTAGAGCACAGTAACCTCTTACATTCTCTGTAATAAATTTAATAAAGCTAAAGCATGGTAACCTCTTATATTCTCTGTGATAAATGTAATAAAACTAAAGCACGGTAACCTCTTACATTCTCTGTGATAAATGTAATAAAACTAAAGCACGGTAACCTCTTACATTCTCTGTGATAAATGTAATAAAACTAGAGCACAGTAACCTCTTACATTCTCTGTGATAAAATGTTTGAAAAGTAAAATAATATTTATATAAAAGTTACACTATTCATTGTAATTTTGATGCACAAACTTTTAGCTAAACATACTTACAACTTACACTAACCTATATCATGCACTGTAACAGACTATTAAATATTATTTACGTCATAAAATATGGAGAAAAAGCCAATAGTCAAATTAATACACTAACTTCATCATACTCCCATGACAATTTTTAGTAAATATGTTCACTGACTTTTTGTATTTTAAGCTCAAAGCTACACAATAGGTAGTTGGAACAATGCCCACCAATAGTATTAAAGCATAATTTTTAACATTATAAACCCGTAAGCTTACCATTGAGTTATGTGTATTGTCTGAGTTTAATTTCTGTGTGTAGCCAGAATTGTTTTTTTAACTGTAGCAAACGTTTTATTAAAACTTATTTTGTCTGTATAGTTGCTGCGTTTTTGTCAGCTTTATATGACAAAAGCTTATATTTATGTATTAGTATTAGGCACTAGGGGTTGTAAGATAGTTTCTACATCAATAAAGTAAGTAATATTAGGTTCTCAAAATATTAAAAAGATGTCTTTCATGGTGTTCTACCGTATCTGCATGATTAGTTAACAAGTCTTGTAAATGTTAAACAGATATTTTGTGTCAATGAATTTAAACTACATTTACCTAGACATGATATCTTAATTACGTGACTAATAAATATTAAATTGTCATATACATTTTTTTTTGTACATTTACTGATTAATGTTCAGGTTATCCAAACTTGATGGATTTTTATTGCACTGTCATAGATTAAGAATATTTTACAATAATTACAATTTTATGTATTAATATGAAGTTAAATCTTTCTTCTAATTTTATAAATTATTTTTATTTTGTGTAGACACTTCAGATTCTAAAGAAATTAGAGATTCTTTACTAGAAATTTTATTTTTGAAATTAAACATTTATTCTTAGGTGATACGTACTCTGGATCCTAAGCAAAGCACAGGCTCTGGACCAGAGGTTTTAGCTCTTCGTAATCAACTTCAAGAGAAGGAGAAGATCATTGCAAAGCTTGAGGTATAATTCGCATGGATAGATACCATTTTTTAAACATTTTTATTGAAATTCGTTTCTTTGATAAGTGTAATAACATATGATATATCTGTTCCTAAACCATGAAATTAATCTTGGAATAATAGTTTATGCCTCTACTGTGTTTAATTTGTAGGAAATGTATTCAGTACTGCATTAAGATACATGTTAATGTAATTCTGTTAAGGTGAATCAACACAAAAATATTTTACGTACATTGTTTTGAACAACTTTATACCAATTATATTGTGAACCAGTGGAACCAGTCATTTTGAAATTCTAAATGAATTTACTTATCTCCTTTGATCAAGTACATTTTGATGCCAAATTTTATGTAAAAAAATATGGAATCAGTCCTGAGAGATGCCACTTGTGAGTTGGCTCAGAATTTCACAGACCTTTACATAGATTACCTACTAATATTTTTTCAAGTAAATTGGTTCCATAAAACATGAGAAATTCCAAAAAATATTTTTATCTGTATTTTGTATCAGTCAAAAGTCTACATAAAAAATTTAATGTTTTGTCAAAAATTGAGGGAGAAGTTCAATAATCATTTAAACATTGATACCTACTATATGGATACTTTTTTATTTTTGGTATAAAAAAATCTTTTGTTCTAGAAATGTAAAACTTTGTTATTTGTTCATGCAGGTTTAATCCGGTGCCTGATATAGTGTTGATGTTTTATATTGCTGATTAAAATAACTTATTACCTAGTTAGTGCACTTGTTAACTGTTAAAACCTGCTGATTAGTGTGCTAAACTCTAGATCAGAAAGTCCAAGGTTTGTGTTGTGACACTGCTGCACTTTCAACTGCAGGTTCATTATGAGAGTGATTAGTCAATCCTGTTATTTGGTTCAAAGCCAGACAAAGCCCTAGTGGCAATAGGTGCTGTTGAGTGACTGCCTCCCCTCTGTTCAGTAGTTTAAGATTAGAGATGGCTATATCTGAATACTAAGGGAGTCTGAGTTTGCCACTTACCAAATGGATGTATAAGATTCCATTCAGGTTGAAAGTACTAATATCAGTTAGGAGTGATCAGTGTCTTTTGTGCTACACTTTCGCTTTATAAATCTGAAAGTAATACTGTTAGATAATTATATTCAAAAATATCTGTTATTTCAAGAATACATTAACACCACAAGTTAACAGATGTATCAGGTAATTGACTGCTATACACTTACATTTGATGCATACAACTGTGTGAAGATTGGATACATGATTTTTAACTTAATTTGCATAGGATGTGTTAGGAAAAGCTAAATACAGAACAACCACATCCATCGTTTGAAAGTTTTTTGTTATACGCGTGAATTGTTTCTCTTTTGTTTTGAAATTTGGAAATCATCAGCTCATCATGAAATGTCCTTCTTTCAGATATTTTAGTTAGTAAGTTGTACATATTTAATATCTTTTGAAATATGTTTATTAGCTGTCCATAGGTAAGAATTCTAGTTTTAATGATTATCATCTGGAATTAGAATTGGATTTTTTCTACTCTTAATTAGCTTTTGGTTGATGACCAGATGAATACAACATTGCTGCACAAAGTTTATTTTTTGTTTTAAAAAACTTTGCTCCGTCCCCTTGTCAGGAATATTCAAGAGATCAGAAGACAGGAAGTCAAAGTTTATAAATATTTAGTTCAAAGTTCTTTTTTATTTTCAGTTTTTTTTTGTTTTCTACTGATTGGGAGTCTGTTGATGAGAAATCTAGTGGCTGTTTTGGTCATCACTAAAATTGTCTTTCAATAATAATATAGAGTTAGAGCTTGTGAAGGGTATTACTTTTGTGCTCATCGGTTCACTTCTTGCAGACAAATCTTATTTGTAAATGAATTGTTTGCTCCATTTATGATAAGATTTTTTTGCAAAGTAATTTACTTATAGAAGACCCATTGTCAGTGTTAAACTAATCAATATACATGGGAAGAATGTCCATCAGTCATGTTTACAGTAGTCTAGGTTGCAAGTACAAGGTTGAAAGGTGTGATGTTAAACGTTGTGGATGTATTCGTGACAGGTTCCTGTTGAAGTTAAAGAGATCAGAAAAAGAATTCATCCAAAAAACATAAGAATCCAATTAAGAATGGACAAGAAAACTATAAAGCAGAAGGAAAATAAAAAATAAAATGCTTTGTTCTTCTCATTATAACTACTTTTGTTATCTTAGAGGCTTAGATCATTCAGTGATAGACATTAGACATACTTAGATGTGATTGATCAGACCTCAACCATCAGAAGTCATAAGAAATAGTTATATTGTTTCTCCTAAGTGTGCAGAGTGGTCTAGATGTTATGAACATTTTGAAAACTGTTCTTGCATGGCAAATCAATGTCAAAATGGAATGGTCCTGAACAAATGTATTCTTGCTGTAGAAAGACTTTTCACCGACACTGAAACAAAGTATTGGGAGTTTCATTGCATTTTTTTCAAAATGAACCCAAAACTTATGCAAAGGTATATGATCTTCTCTTGTTGAAATTTCTATATGGTCAACTCTCAGTTTTAGGGTTAAATGATGCACAAATAATAAAGTTGTATTAGGCCATAGATGTTTTTTTAACCTACTTTTCTGAATGTATTCAGAGGAAAATCATTCGTACTATCCAGTGTTAATAAGAGATGTCAGAAGAAGCAAATAAGACAAATGAATAAATTACATTACTTTATCTCTTATTTGTAGTTTAGCTTAAAGTTGCTGATAAATAGTGGCATTTTTTTGAAACAACAAGATAACTCTAATTGATTCATTTTTTCCACACATTTCTGGGAAGAAAAACTAATGGCACATTCTTATAAATATGGATTTGTGTATTTTCTTAACTGATTCAAATTATTTTTGAGGCAGGTTTTGTTTTTTATTTTCTGAAATTAGAAAGATGCTGAGAAATCAAAAGTGGTGCAGGAAATGGAAGAAAAGCTTCTGACAACAGCTTTTTATAACTTGGTATGTTGAAGAATGAAAAATTTTCATTACCAGTTACACCGAATTTTCAATATTTTTCCATTGAAGTAAAATGATCTTATAGATTGTTTAAAACAGTTAAAATGCCTAGATTTTTTTTTTAATTAATATAAATTTTTATTACTGTTATTATAATTTGGGCTTCATGGTGCAGGTTTTACTTTTGTTGTCTTATTTAGAAATGTTTAGAATATAACAGAAAGTATGATGAGAAAGTTATTGGCCATGAAATTTAGTAGCTTCATTTAATTGTGAAGAATTTTCTATAATACAGGTTAACTGATTTTACAATTTCAAAACAAAGATGAGAGTGAAGTCAAATCATTTTGTGAGTAAATAAAGAATACTGCTATTTGTAACTAGTTATTTTGGGATGTCACTTCAGAATGACTGGCAAAGGTTTTGAAAGAATAAACCTGGGAGTTGAATATTACGAGATCATCCTTACAGTTATCATCTTATTTAATTTGAGAATTCAAGGTAATAAACTCAATAGTTAAAATAAAAATCAGCTATGCCTGCTGTGTGATATAGCAACAGAATAACTGAAGAAAATTAATGTTAAAAGCTCAAGTACTTGCAGTAGTTTCCCAGTCATTTTGGTAATGGATGGCATTTTTTAAGTATAAGTAAACTTGGAATGCAAGATTGGATGATATAGGTTATCCAAGATGAGTTTCTTTCTCTTTTTATATATTAAAGCAAGAAGCTCTTTTAAAAGTAAGGGCTTAAATGCCAAAAGCTGGCAAAATGATCGAAACCAACAGGCCCAAAAATTTTTACAAAAACAATGCCAAAAGCTGGTTTTTTGGGCCTGTTGGTTTCAATTATTTGGTATTGTTTTTATAACAACAAGCTGGAAAATGATGGAAACCAACAGGCCCAAAAATTGTTATAAAAACAAGTTAAATGTAGATTTTGTTTTTCTACATTTCTCTTAATTTGTCCTTTGTGGCTCAAAATCAGAAGGGTGTAAGAGAAAAAAAAAAACATTTTAGACCTAATTCTTACACAGTTATTTTTATACACCTCTGGTTTCAAGTGGCAGTGGACAAATTAAGAGCAACGGGCAAAAAAAAATATGTGGTTAACTTGTTTTTATAATGAGAAGTTCCTTTAGGTGTAAATGTACATTTACACTTATTACATATTTTGCTAAATTTTTCATTAAATGTTATGAACTTTAGTTTCACTACTGCAAGTAAATATAAAGAACAGTGTTGCCTACTGTGAAGTTTTAGTATAGACTATGGGATTTAATACTATTTAATGTTTTTTTACAGATCACTTTCATTTGAATAAAAAAAAAAGGTAATTTTAGAAACCAAATTAATGTATAAATATTTTGTCATTAAGGCATTCACCATTATTATGGTTAAGAAAATTGATATTATATAACATTCTTTAATGGCTGAAGACTGAAAATGTGATATATATAAATGTGTATAGGTTTGTCTGACTAGGAAGGTTTGCTGTGGTTAGTACTGAACTAGGTGAGGGTAGAGAGATTACCACAGTCCCATGTTATATATATATATATATATATATTCAAGTTTCTAGATGTTTAACGTTTTTATAACTTTTGTTTTGTAATAGGGAGCTCAATTGCAACGAAAAACAGCAGAAGAAAGATTATTACAAAACCCGACAACACAGTCATTCCTTACGAGACAGCGACAAGCCACAACGAGACGACTTACTAATCCTGGGGTATCAACAAGGTAGGCTATGAGACTTTCAATTAACTGTAAAAACATATTAACTAGAATGTAATATAATTTTTAAAGAAAAAAAACTTGAGAAAACATTTTTTGATAGGATGTTGTTGCACACTTGAGTATTTGTGATGATTTTAAAAAAAATCTAGGAAATTATTAAATAGCATCATGCATGTATAAAGTAAAACCAAACACACATTACAGTTTTTGTTCACTGAAATTTTTGTTGCTGTCATTCTGAGATAGAGTACACAAGCAATTTTGGTCAAAGTAAATGGCTAATAAGAAATGTATTTTACACCTGACTTGCATGTTATCTTTGTGGTAGAGGAACAATAGTACAGTTTGATTCAACTAAAATTAGAAAAGGCAGTCATGTATGTCTGATTAGGAAGGTTTGCTATGTTTATTACAATATTTAAGTCTTTGAATTAGCTGAGGGTTGGGAGCTAACAACAGTCCCATGATGAAAAACTTATTTTGAAATAGAAGGTAGTGGTAATCTATACCCTAAAATAAGTCCTCTGTCATGGGACTCCAACTGGTAGATGAGGGTAGATTACTACAGATTATCAAGTTTACTTATAATTACAACAGAGTACTTCCTTTCATCATAGAGGATTATTTTTTAGTAGTAGATGGGGTTTAGATTACCACAGTCCCATGATGATGAACATATTTTGTAGAAGTATGTGAGGGTATAGATTACCACAGTCCCATGACAGAGGATTATTTTGTAGTAGTAGATGGGGTTTAGATTGCCACAGTCCCATGATGATGAACATATTTTGTAGAAGTATGTGAGGGTATAGATTACCACAATCCCATGACGGAGGATTATTTTGAAGTAGTAGGTGAGGGTATAGGTTGCTATATTCCATGACAGACGATTATTTTGAAGTAGTGTTAATCTATTTGTAAAACAAGTTTTTTAAGTTTTTACAGTGTTTGAAATTTAATAATAATTAACAAAGGACATAGAGATCTAATATTTGTATAAAAATCATGAATAGAAATAGAAAATGTGTTTATTAATATGAATTGTCATTTTTACTTTTGAGGCACCAGGAATATTAATCATGAATTCGAGTAACGTATTCAGGTAGCTTTTTGAATGTAAATAGTTAACTTTGGAGACAGTTCCTATTTGCCCAGCATAGTTATAGAAACTTGGCAGAACATATTTCAATAATAATAATAATCTTAGGCATGTTTACAAAGATTTATTATCAGCTTTATTCACTTTTGTCATATTACACTTACATAAATACTTTAAAGCTAAACAATCTCACAAAATGAAGATTTGCCTACTTTTATAGTATAGAATATTTTTTTCAATAATTCTGATTTAAATGTAAAAACTTGTTATCAGAGTTTAAAATTATCATTAGAACTTGGATACAGGTGAATGAAGTACAAATGATAAACGTTTCATAACTATAGTGATTTATATCTTTTTTGTCAAAAAGGAAGTTTGCTAGTTATTATTTCTTGCTGATATAAAGCTTTACATAAATTAGACATTGCTTATGTCATGTGGATTGAGTGGTGTTTCACTCAGTAAAAAAAAAAAAGTTTAAAACAATGAAACCTGACATATTTTCCTCATAGTCTCCAGTAAAAAAAATTCTAGTTTTAAAAGAAATAAGCAGAACATATGTTCTGTGTAACATTACATAATTCCTATAAGCATTTATTGGCCTTTAATAAGGTATAGCACAGTACTTTGGTTTGATTTACTTGGTGAACACCTTCTCTAAAACATAGGTGTTTCCTGACAATTGAGTAGTGATAGCTTATCCAAGTAGCATACTCTGTTTGTCAGTTAAATGTAGCACTTATACTCCTCATTAACAATTACCAGTGGTCTTAAGATATTTAACAAAAATAGTCTTTTACCATTATTTAAAAAATATTTATGCTGTTTAATGTTTAGTGAGGAACCTACTAAACTTATTAAATAATTTAACAATACAATAACAGCAACTTTTACAGTAAGCAAGTTCTGGTTTTAATAATTATAATGTTTTATCAGGGGACTCTGGTAAACTATATCCTTTTGAACCATAGTATTGAGTCATCATTCTGAAAGGGTATAGATTACTAGATCTTGCCTGCTGTAAAAGTTGCTGTTATTGTATTTTTAAATTACCTACTTCTTGCCATTTGATTTTTGATAAGTACGCTGTTTGTGTAGTATTGTGTACCGAGAAAGTGAGAATTCTGTGGAAAGTTTTTTTCCATTATTTCCTGCTGCACTTAAAGTGTGAACGAAACAGTTTATCCTGTATACACTGTAATTTTTCTACTGGTCACATTACTTTGTGTGTTTTGTAGTTGACATAGATCTTTCAACTACAATGTGGGTTTTCCAACAGTCTTTTTACAATATTTATGTATGAAAGAGCAGATTTTCGTCAGGATACACAAACACTTTTAGTTTTAGCTGCATACATTTTGTGAAAGTGTTAAATGCTGTGTTGGAAAGACCTGCTACATATCATTTCAGAACATGCAGGTTTTGGAGAGTGGTTTCATACAAGCTCCCACACTAACAGTTTATAGGTGTAAACAGATTTAGTGCATTTCCAGTATGGTAATGTATGAAGCATAGATTCAGTTTGTACATGTGTCAAACGATGTTTACTGACTATAGTTAATTAAGTTATTTTTTTTGCATGCACAGTTATGTGTGGTTGATTTCCTTTCAGTCCTGATATTATTTTATCAAAACATGATTTTAAAACTTTAGAGTTAGTTTCAGTTCTTTTTGCATGCACTTGAATTGGCTGCTATTTGATGTATATTTGAATGTATTTATTTTTGACTTGAAGTGAATGTGGTTAAGATACAAGAAGTTGTTACATTATGTTTCAATTCGTACATGCTTTGTGTTAGTTAGACCACCTATTACATAGTAGTTAATAGTTATGTAATTAAATAACAGATAATTATTGTGGAGGTAAAACATTGGCTAGTGAGTTGTAAGTTTATAGTTAATGAACAAACGTATATATGCATGTGTGTTCATTAGTTGTGAACTTAAAACTTACTAGCCATATTTATATATAAAATACATTTTTTTAATGATTTCACTATCAACTTAGCACTTAAAAGGTATTGTTGCATTTATAAATGTTCTGTTGTTGTAGACATCAGGCTGTTTTACATTAGGGTAATATAATAACTGAACTTTTCTTTTTTGGTTATGTATATAATCTTGTGTTTTTTTGTTTTTTCTTTCAGTGAATTTTTTGACTGCTAATCCTTTGCATGCAGATACAACACTTGAAGCCCTGACTATGTGTTTAGATACAACACTTGTGTTTTTAGAATACTTGTGCTGTGTTTTCAGACAAGCATCTAATATTTATGTGCATCTATAACCCATGGCAACTACACTGGCATTTTAATTGTTTTGTTTTTAATAACACTTTGTAAAACTCAGTTTGAAAGTAGCAAGGTTTAACAATTAATGTTCCATTCATGGGTTGTTAATGTTATAGTTTTTAGCTGTTTATGGGTATTCTTCTTTACTATTACAGTTTTTTTTTCCAGGGATTGTGTAACATCCCTTAATTCTTTTCTTTTAGCTTTTAGTGAGAAAATGATACTTTTATAGTTAAGTTCCCAAGATCAAAAAGAACTTTGCTTGTGGGCAGTTTTTAGTTATTTGATGTAAGCTATATATGGGGGGGACAATGTATGAAATGCAGTTTTATCATAAATTGTCATTAAAGGTGGGTTTTAGTCCAAGGACTTAAGCGTATAAAGTGTGTAGCATGTATTTTGTTTGTAGAAGATAAACTTGAACTGAGCTTTTACCAACATTGCATGACTATAGATTACTAACTTATTGTGAGATAATTGCTACTTGCAAGGTTCTGTAGTTACTACTTTTTTTTGTCCATGTAATCATAGTATACATCAGATCAAAGTAATTTTATTTTATCATTTGCATACACTATAATATCTATTTGTACCATCAGCTGTACATATATTACTATAGTTATTGCCTAAACTTCCATTTCATAACTAGCAGTTACATTGGTTGGTTGTGGTTTTTTATTCTTATTTCAACTTGTGTATGTGTGAAAGCTTCAGGTATTCATGTATTATGACACTAGAGGTGACCACACTCATGGAAGTGACATCATTAAGTTCATTATGAATATTTTATTTATGAATATTTTCAATAATTTATAAATGAATAAACACCAATAACTGAAAATAGTTTTTTGTTTTTTTTACTTTATAAAGTAATAATCCTGACTCAGATGACAGTGACGACATTTACATAAGGGGCTAATCTTCTAGGCTTATATTTCAAATTTAGAAAAAAACATACTTTGACAGACAAATCTCAGGATTACAATAACAGTAAAAACAGTTTATTTAAATGATTAATAACATTTAGTAAACTTTTTCTTTTTCAGTAAAAACAATATAAAAATATATTAATTGTGAGGCAGTTAATGTTAGTTGACAGAGGTTGTATGTTTTTGCTAGGAATTAGCCGAAGATGATAAGATTTTTGCTGTGATATTCAATATAGGGAAATTAAGCTTAGCACAATGGTAGAAGAAAGTTTGTATAGATTATGAAAATATATACAGTATTCCCTCGCTATTCGCGGGAGTTACGTTCTTTACCACCACCACCACCCCGCGAATAGCGAAAAACCGCGAATATTGGATT